GTAAAGTGGATAAAAAAAAAAAAAAACAAAAAAAAAAAAAAAAAAAAAAAAAAAAAAAAAAAAAAAAAAAGGAAAAAAAGTATTTGATCGTGACAATTCCCCGCCTAATCTATATAAATATTTACAGCAACTATCGAAAAAAGTATAGCAGACATAAAGTAATCTAAAAAAATATGTCACACATTTAATAAAGCGATGTTACAAAGAAGTTTAATTAGAATATATCTGAGATAGTAATAACCAATATTATTTATTATCCATGATACAAATTACCATACATTAAGTAATGAAGTGGTTTCTCAGACAAAAATGCCGTTCACAATTCAGGTGATTTATTGTGAACTATTTCCTTTTCTTGAATAGATACACCTTGATTGTTGGCAGCAGGTGAAGATCCATTTGTAATGACATCCTCCGACACATGCTTATCATCTTCGTTTGCCATTGGAAGAGCCTCGGCTTTTTCAAGTTCCATAGCAGATGAAGTGCTTTCTGGTTTGATTTTATTATTTTCAACATGATCTAGCTCTTCATTCTTAACATCAATTTCTTGTTCATCTGGTAAAGGTTGGTTAATTTCTTCATGTTTAACAGCTCCGTGCTGCGGCGAATTGCCTTCAACTTGTGCGGTCATCTTGGGAGATGCATCTTCGTCCGTACCTTCTTGGGTGGGTGCCTCCAATAAAAACTTCCATTTTTTAATTAATTCATCGCTTCGATCCTTGATATTATATGGGTCGGGCTCGATTTTCAAATCAGCGATTTTTCTCATAAGTTTTCCAATTTTACTTTCCTATAAAATAATTCGAAAATTACTTCGTTCAAACGAATATATACGAGTGAAAATTAAATTCTTCACAAATGATATACCTTCAACAAAGGAATAGTAATAGGGAAATTTTCCACTTCAGTAAATACTTCATCAATCTTTCCCATATCGTGCAACTATTTAAGGAATAAATTAGTAAATATAAATGAGAAATAGTAGAATAAACATTAATAATAATAATAATAATAATAATAATAATAATAATAATAATAA